CAAGGATGTAGACTTTACGAATCCAATAAGTCTACGCGGATGTCGACATTACAAATCCAATAAGTCGACGGAGCGATATCGAGGAATGCCGACTTTACGTATCCATCAAGTCGACGGAGCGGTAATCAAGGATGTAGACTTTACGAATCCAATAAGTCTACGCGGATGTCGACTTTACGAATCCAATAAGTCGACGGAGCGGTATCGAGGAATGCCGACTTTACGTATCCAACAAGTCGACGGAGCGGTGACGAGGAAGGTCTAGGGGACGGTGTTCTAGGTAGCGGTGTTCGCGAGGTGCTACTGCTGTTGGAGTCTGAGCTCTGTTCAGCGGAGTGCCTCGGAAGACTGCTCTCTACTGAGTTTTTTGCGCGGTCTTTTATACTACTTTTAATCTGATATCGTGTTGTGATCTTCGCGGTCGGTCGGCGATGTTTACATCGTCGCGTGTTCGGTTTCGTGACGAGTCGTTTGATTTTATCGCTATTACGGTTCCTGTTCTATTTGTCTTACGAACGGCTCGTTACAATTATCTCATCCATTAACAGTCCTCTTTATAATTTTACTGTTTTTTTACACAAACTTATTTATCATAAAATTCCTCCAGCAAAAAGCAGAATTGATAATAGTTTTGACTTGGTCAAAATTTTTTGTTTCCGACATTTTGAAGAACATCACAAACTATTGTCTTTAGACGCCATCTCTTTGTTTACCAACATCCCTCTTGATTTAGCTATCTCTTCTGTCGACAAACGTTGGTGTTATATAGTGTCACGTCTTAGTTGTTTAAAACGTGTTTATGTTGTCCTTTTGGACCAATGGATTTAACTACTTTATCCCGGGATGGACAAGTTCGTGTGATTGTGAATGAATAAATGTGTAAACGTATGTGTATGTGTGAAGTTAGACGAATAAACTAAAATAGTGATTTACTTACTGCTTCAGCTTTTGTTTTTCCTTTAAAGTAATTTGATGGTTCTTAAACGCTTTCTGCTCAATGGTCAGAGAGAGACTGAGGAGCTTAGGATCGGACTCAAAAGATTCGTGGGCGAAGGTTTGGGAATATGAGTAAAGTGTAACGCAACACTTAGGAATCAGTCAGAGAATATGATAGGAAAACAAATCTTTATCTATTTAATAACTTATTTATGATCTTTAATGTTTTATCTTAGTGATCCAATTGTTATGTATATTGTTTTATGTAATGGGTTTTAATTGATTGGTTTGCTGAATTGAAAGCTAAAAATTGAAACTGAATTAAAAGCAAAACTATACTAAACTATTTTTCTCAACTAACTAACTGACTTTCTAAAACTTCTATTACTAAAAAATTAACTAACTGTGTGGGCAGTTGCACCCGTTTTTATAGGCAGGTGGCGAGATACCCCCGCGCGAGTTCTCACAACCTTTTAGTAAAAAGAGAAAGATGCTTCTCACGACATGTGAACAATAATCAATAGTTACATTTTGACATCTTATTATCAATTCATTGTTCATCGACCATAGGGCTTTTATCGCATTTCTGGTGGTAACAGAAGGTGCACTTAATCGAAATGGAGAGAAGTTACGTCGGATGTAACAATAGGTAACTACTAAAATTCCTCGTAATAAATTTATTTTAGCTTTGAAATTTGTACTTAATTTCACATATTTCACTTTTAATAATAAAATTTATAAACAGACCTTTGGCAGTCCAATGGATTCACCGTTATCCCTCATTATCGCGGATATGGTTTTACAAGACTTGGAGGAAAAAGCTATTAATATGATTCCTGTAGCTTTACCTTTTTATTTTAGATATGTTGACGACATTTTTCTAGCAGCTCCCCAGGAATTCATCGATGACATCTTATATTTTTTTTAATTCTTTTCATCCTCGCTTATAATTTACAATTGAAATTGGACATAATAACAAGATTAACTTTTTGGATACTACTATTTTAATTTGTGACAACACAATTGTTTTTTATTGGTACCATAAACATATTCGATACCTTAACTTTATATTTTTTCACCCTATTCAACACAAGATAGGGACAATTATTGGCCTTGTTGACAGCATTTTTTTACTTAGTCATTCTTTTTTCCACAGGAAAAATTTAGATTTTGTCATCTTAACTCTTATAAATAATAATTATCCAATTAACCTTATCTTTAGAATAATCAAACGTAGACTCGCTTTCCTCATAAACAATTGTAATAATGGTGTTAAAAATAGGAAAAGATCCTCTCTCAAAAAATACTTTATCATACCATTTTTTTTGGTTTGATCTCTGATAGACTGACAAAAATTTTAAAAAAAGATTTGACAATTATTTCTTATTGCTGTTTTAATAAATTATCGGAAATAATTTGTGTACATAAAGACCAGCCTTCTTAATAATGTGATTTACAAATTACAATGCGGTAGCTGTGAAGCTTCATATGTTGGACAAACTAGCAGAAAACTCTCTATGCGCATTTCTGAATATTAGAGAATTCTTAGGAGATCTACTGTGGATTTGACGGCCGTCCAGGAACATCGTTGAAAATAAGTAATTATCAATGATTTTTAGTATGATATTTCTATAAGGGTACGCAACACCGAACATGCAAGAGAAAGAGATAAAATGAGATTCGTCAAAATAAACCGTAATAGCTGTTGCCTAAATATTCAGTGTCATTTTGTGAATTTATACCTTGTTTTTGTAATCTGATAAAAATTATTTCGGCTATAAGTAAAAGCGTTCTTTATGTAAAATTTTAACATGTTCCCAATCAAACTCATGGTCGTTATAAATAACGACCATGAGTTTGATTGGGAACATGTTAAAATTTTACATAATGAACGCTTTTACTTATAGCCGAAATAATTTTTATCAGATTACAAAAACAAGGTATAAATTCACAAAATGACACTGAATATTTAGGCAACAGCTATTGCGGTTTATTTTGACGAATCTCATTTTATCTCTTTCTCTTGCATGTTTGGTGTTGCGTACCCTTATAGAAATATCATACTAAAAATCATTGATAATTACTTATTTTCAGTATTAAAAATACTGGATAATAAGTAATTATCAATGATTCTTAGTATGATATTTCTATAAGGGTACTTCGACATTTATATATGTAAATAATTTGTTGTGCTTATACCGAGACTTGGTAATATTACGGTCGACAATATCGTTTCGGCCTTGTGTTGGGCCGCTAAACTTTGTTCAAGGTAATTTATAATCGGTTATTCTATCTTATTTATTTTAGTTTTTAAATTATTACACATTTTTTATATGTTTTGATTGACAATACGACCGCTGTACCCTTACTATATGCTTCTGCGAATAATCGCATTGTTATGGACATTTAACGCATTTGTCGACTTTAATATCGAACTAACATCGTTTTTTCGGTTTCCATCAAGTCTGTTGTTTTTCTTGATTAAATTTCTTGGTTCTGTACAATGCTTGAGTTTTTGTGTATATGTATCACTGAAAAGGGTTCATGGATGAACTGTAACGTTTGGTAATTTATATATTTTTTGTATAATAAATTTACATTATTTCTTAACATGGAATATAAGGAAGGTTTTATCAATTTTGGTTATTTAGCACTACAATTGCTGTGCTTGAACTCCTATTAGTCTTTTTTTCTATAATTAATTTTGTCATATTAATAAACACATTTTAAATGTAGCAACTGCATATGTAATTAACATAAAATCACTGCTATTTCCTTGGATAATACACTTCCTTTGATAAATACACAGAATTTAATAATATTTATGTATAAATAATAATAATAATATTGATATACATAAATATTATTGAATTCTATGTATTTATTTAATCGGGGTTCGTAAGATCGGTTGGTAATATTGCGGTGGTGCATGTCTTGCCGGAAGATGTACATTTATAAAAAGCTGTGAAATGCAGCGCTACAAAAACAACAAGTAAACCAGCAAGCACGATCATCTAGCGTTTTTTGTCGCAAGCTCTAGGCAATATGATTTTAGTCATAGCAGATACCCTTATAGAAATATCATACTAAGAATCATTGATAATTACTTATTTTCAGCATTAAAAATACTGGATAATAACTAATTATCAATGATTCTTAGTATGATATTTCTATAAGGGTAGATGAGGGGCAAAAGGCGAAACTAAAAACTGGTGCCTAAAAACGAGAGCAATCCAGGTAAGGAAAGGAAAATCTTAAAAGAAAACCAACTCCTAACCCAAGTTATTAGATACTGTGTTGAGGGGTTAACACAACCGCGGGAGTCAAATTAATGCAGTCTTAAATAGCCCTCCAGAGGCCCTCCCAGATAGCACATGATGTCCTATGAACATCCATTTTATGTCCATTTTACATTCGCACATCCATGGACATGCAATGTACGTCCATAAGATATCCAATCTTGGACATAAATGTTTTAAATATAAAATTTAAGGCGATGCTGGATATCGGCGTTAGGCCCGTTTTAAACCATGTCGTTTATCTTTTAATTGCATGCATGGAATTGAAAACGCTTTTACACAGTAAAAGTATGATCATTAATGAAGTAAGGTAGCTCAAAAGTTGTTTCGAAAACAACAAA